ATAACATTTCTATTCCAATGAATATGCGTTAAATTTAGGGACGTAAAGTAATTTAATATATTTTAAATACATTACATACAACTAAATTGAGAACAATTTTTCATGAGCTCAATTATATAAGTAAAGATTTAAACTAAATATATTTACCAAAATAATTCAACAAGTTTTACAGTTAAATGCAAGGAACTAGAGAATTAAATTTTACATATTGAAACAGAATATAATAGAAATTTCTAAAAAAAAAAATTGTAAACAACATAATAGAAAGTAGGGAAAATGAAGCTTCAAGCTCATGTCGCTAGTTGAGTATTTAAAATACAAGATAAGTTGAAAAATATACACAAACTGAACTGTCTTCGGCTCTGTCATAACTTAGCCTTCAAAGCAAGTTACTAGTTTATTATCTTGCCTTGTTAGTTGATATAAGTATAATTATAATATATGCTACTCCGAACATACGACCTCAATGTATATGTTCTGTCAAGAAAATTGGAGGAAAGGTTTTCTGCTCATACTAAACATCCACAGGCACTATTGCTGTATAACTCTTTGTTACTTTTAAAGCTTTTTCTGCTAGGAAATTACAAGTTTACACAGCAGATTAAAGTCAAGTTTCTTTTCAACTACTGCGCGCAAAAAGTGACCCAAACTCTTTCTAAGTAGCTGTAAGAATACGTTTAACTTATTGTTATTGGCAAGAGTATAATTTACTTATAATTGACTTTCATGTTTTCAACTGTCACACATAATCAGCTTAAGCAATTGCCCTTATTTAATTTCTACTCACTTCTATATTGATGCGACATAATAGCTCAATGCACATTGTGCTTCGAATTGCATAATAATAGGGCTAATATCTCAGTTTTAAGCACACACATACAGTCACACTCCCGTTGATGAACTGCTTAACTCAGCTGAGTCAGTTGAGATAGAAATTGTTCGTCTTTTGTCCAGTAAAACCAACTAAGCAATTCAATTTTAAACGTTTAACTAACCATATTTCCTTATTATACTTTCTTCCACTGATGCTGATGCTGCTGCGCTGCTCTATCTACACAATGATGGGGAAAATAAAAACAACTGCAACAACAACAATAACAACAACAACAACAACAATAACAACAACAACTGTTGTTGTTGGTGTAATCAATGCCACTGTCACGGCAATTTGCACACACACAAAATGCAACACAAAACAACCAACAACAACAACAATGATGACGACGACGACGACGACGACGACGACGACGACGACGACGGCAACGACGACGACGACGCCGTTGTTCTCTACGGCACTACAATCGACTTGGCATTGAACTACCAATAACAACAACAACTACAACATGGATGACAACAACAACAACAACAACAACGTCATGAATCGCTGTCCCTGGTCATCATCATGAATGCTGATGCTGGGGATGTTGCTGCTGCTCCTGCTTACTGGCAATACGTTGCGTATACGTAACATTGGCCAGGCTTCGATGCGGCCAAGCATTGGCTGGCAGTCAGCTCGATACTCTTGATAATTGGCGCTGCCAGTGTGGCAGTGCCCCTGGCGCTACGTGTGGCTGCAAGTGAGTAGCGTGCAGACTGTGTAGACCTTATTTCCGCTTTCAGATACCGGACAATAAATCAATTACCATAACGCATACGACACGTAGCCAAAGCTCAAAGTGTCAAGAGGCGTTATGCATGTGTGCGTGCGTCTGTGTGCATATGACTGTGTTGCCTTTGTGTCTGTGTGTCGTGTTAATGCGTTCAAGTTAGTTAGTAGCTGCTGCTAACTTGGTTTTATGGGCCACACACTCACTTTTTACCTTTTCTGTCTCTTTCTCTCTCTCTCTCTCTCTCTATCTTCCCTTTCTCCATTTTTTACCGTAACAGGTGCACCCTTTGAGGAGCGTTTGCGCGTCGCCGTACAGCTCTTGGATCAAGTGCCTTTAATCGATGGGCATAATGACTTACCCTGGAATATACGCAAGTTCCTCCACAACAGACTCAACGACTTCAAGTGAGCAATACGCAGATGCAATTAATTTTTTATATATTTTTAAACGAACGTCTTTTATAATTTTTCCATCACTTCTCTTTTTTTTTGCAATTTTTCCCAGCTTTGATGAGGACTTGCGCAACGTGGTGCCCTGGGCGCGCAGCCACTGGAGCCACACGGATCTCACGCGTCTGAAGAAGGGGCGCATATCAGCGCAGGTAAGTGCAAAATATATGCCCACCTTAGCTCACCTGCCATTCGCCTTCCGACGCCTTTGTCGCTGGCTCTTTAAGCTTTAATTGGCCAGCTAACTTATCAAGCACTGCTCGACAGTGGGCCGCATAAGCTCGCTGCCCGGCTTGTCAGGCTCTTTAGGAATTTTTCATATTTCGCCGGCCTTTAGATATGCCCTTTGTAAAGCAGTTAATGTAAAGCATATACTCTTATGGTCTTCTACTCATTTGCTCGTATACTTATTGATCTAATAGTAGTATATACTTCTAATACCTCAGACAATATTTTCTTTGGGCCCGTTTCCATGAACTCTTTTTTCATACAGTTGCAATATTTTCGTCTTTTCGTTTCTCAGAGTATTAGCCTGTCGTTTAGCTTCTCTTGCTTCGTTTCACTTCTCTTTCAATCATTTTCACATTTTTTTTAATTTTTTTTTTTTTTTTTTTTTTTTGCTAATTGCCGCTTAGTCGTTGTCCGGGCAACCTTTGCAGTCGTCTGAAGCTATCTTTGCTTCAGCTTTTGCTTTGCACATCTTTCAACTAGACAGAGAGGGACAAAAAATGGGAAAAAAAAAATATTAATTATGGACCACTATTCACCTGAAGCAGCGTTTCAGCAATAGCTCCTCCTCTCGTCGGGCTTCGCAGCCTCTGTTGATACTGCCGGCTCCTGCTGCTGCTCCTGCTGATGCGTTAATTATTTTTGCCGTTGCATGGCCTGCTGCTCCCATTTAAGGCGTCGTTTCTAATTGGTCATTATTGATTCCTTAAGCCCAATTTTGTGCGTCATATTTTCGTCTTTTTTTTTTTTTTTTTTTTTTTAATGGCTTACTTGATATTAATGCCATTGGCGACAAGCCTGTTGAGCACTGCGTGTGGTAGTAGCTCAAGGCTGCTGGCTGCTATGACAAAGTACTACAGCTTTATTTCAGCTTAAGCCCGCTGACTATTTACGGGGACTTTGACGTTGGCTTCATTGTGGAATCTTTGTAGGGATATTTAAAGAGAGAAACTATTAATTTGCTAAGAAATTTAATTTAGTAAGTACAATTTCGTAAAAAATATATTTATGCATAGTTAATACATATGTATATCAGATATTTTTTAGATTCACATTTAATATTATTATTTTGGATAAAGAGCTTTAGTTTTCACAAAGCATAACTGCATATGATGCATCAATTTTCTAGTGCTGTGAAAATCAAGTGACCAGTTTGCGACGTTTACCGTGAGGGAGTGTGATATATTGAATAGCTCTACATACACAATTGCATCTCCACATGGGAGGGTCTTGTTGTATATTCTACTCTAATCGTTTCTATCTACCTAGCATACTTGTCGTAATGCCACTGAGTGTGTCTGAATATAAGGATGATCATTCGAATTTTGGATTGCTTAATTAGGAAAAAAGAAGGAACTGCTGGGGGGAAAGGAAGATAAGAAAGTGCTTGGTTTCTAGGAAGAGTATGCTTTAAATGATAAGCAATTGTAATTAATTAATTATTTCACTGACAGAGAATACCAAAAATATTAAAAATAAAAACACAAAATAATATTAATAATAATAATTCAAAAAAGTTATAATAATAGTAATAATAAAAATAACAATAACTATCAATTATTATACTAATTTTAAATTGATTTAACAATTTGAAAAAGTCTTATCATCCCATTAATTTTGTCGAATTATAAAAATCAATTTTAAAAAATAAATTGTTACATGAAATGGAGAAACCAACTAAATCCACAAACTAACAAATAAATAAAAGAAAAATTGCAAATAATTACATAGATAATATTTACAGCTATATAAGAAAAAAAAGATAGTTGTAAATCCCAATAGACTTGAAGCTTCTAAATCAGCTATTTAGTTAGTTATTTATTTTATAACATTATCCTATTCTGCCGGATAAATTAAACCCTTTTGCCACAAAAATCATTAAATTCAAAGCAAATTTTATAATTGCATGAGCATTTCATGTGCTTTATTGCCAGCAACGGCAGCTCATTTCCTAATCGTGTGCCGTAGAAAGGAAATCGCATTTGACATCAATTAGCGAAACACACGCATACATGTGTGTATATGTGCATGCATGTGTGAGTATGTCTTTGTGCAGTTTGAAAATGCAAAGTGAAAGCTTTCGGATGGCGTCTTGTGGCAACAATTTTCCGCCATCATCAACAAGTTCAATTAGCCTGTAAATTGTTGCGCACCTCTACTCATCGAACACGAGAGTCTACAAGTTTTCAGTTAACAGTTTTCAGCTACCTACCTGCCTGTCTGCCTGCCTGCCTCCAAGCTAGTTGCAAATACCAATAAGTATGGCAATAATGACGCCTGGGAGCAGTTAACTAAAACAGCGCCCCATTGGCGGGGAGGCGTGGCACGAGTGCTTGAAAGTGTGAAGTTTTAATAAGCATCGACTTGTGGCCCCATAAAAGCCAGTGAGCAATTCCCGTGCACGAGTCAAAGTCACGCCATTTGCCAACGTAATTAAATTGAGTGCAGCATAATTATACCCTATAAACGATATTTGGTAGTGTGGGGCTGATTTGTGAGCAAAGAAATCAATAAATGCTGGGAAATTAAACATAATAAATCTTTAATTTTAAAAGTCCACAAAATAATTAAGCTTTCATTTGGAAGTGTTTTGATTGAAGCCTAAAAGCTGCAAAAGCTGTTTGAAATTAATTACGCTACCTCTTTATAGATTGTTGATCTACTTTTTTGTGTCTTTCAAGTATTTAACTGTTTCCTTTCTACTTCAAGCGAATCTAAAATATGTAATGCTTACACATTATCCAACATCTACCTCCCCTGAAGCTTAAAAGCTTCAAAACTTACTTAAAGTTCAACTCTTCCTATTCCCTGTTTATACCCGATCTCTTGTTCAAGTTTCAATGAGCTTTGAAAGCTTAATAGCTTATTGTTTAGTCTAAAAATATTTCTAGTCTAAAAAACCAACAATCATTCCAGTAGAAATACGGATAGCCTCAGAAACTTTTACTCCTAGCGTCTACAGGGTATTTGAATGCAGCTTTTCGGCTTGTTGCCTTCCACATTTACTGCCGTTTCCGAGTTTTGCAATATTGCGCCGCAAACTGCAATTACCTGTTAGCTGYTAGCTGTTAGCCGTGCGTCAAACAAAACCAAAAACTGTTTGCCAACATTAAATTTATGGCGGCAGCGGGCCAAGCCATAGAATCGCGTGAGCCAATGCAACATTGAGGCGGCGTGTGGCAGGTGGCCATGACACGACCCAAAATGCATGGCACAAGTTCATTTTCATTAAGTTTAAAGCCTGCTGTTAGCACTTGCACTGGGCCAAGCCGCCGGCTCCATGACTCTGGTCAGAACTGCAATGGCAAATACAATTGACGGCGCATTTTTTCGCGTGCGAAACGTGAGAATTCATCCTGTTGGCTGTTGCAACGCTCACGATTTGAAATATTGAAGTCGCTTCTAGCCAAAAAGTTGTTATTTGCCTTTGATTCATGAACTTTCGCTGCATTTCATTTGCGCCAAAAGCACAGCACGTTCAGCCAGTTTAGCATTTGAACGGATATTTACTTTGGACTGCTTGATTTATGCCAGGTTGCCATGAGAACTTTGCAATGCTACGTAGTCGTTCTATTGAATATCTTAATTAGTAGTAGTATACAAATATATATACACAATTATTGGATATGCTCAAGGCTTATACCTGTACGCATTAAAAATTAGAAATAAAGAAAATCATTAGTTTGTGTGTAAATGTATGTTACCAGCAGAAGGAGGCGTGGCACATAAAGGATATATTTATTCTTGATCAGGGCAACGAGCTTGATCTGTCCGTCCCTCCTAGTTAAAGAATCATTACCAACAAGATCTTACCAACAACAGTTAAATAAATTTTTTTTAAGCTTCATTGCTTTGACTTCAATACTTTACGGTCGTGGCCAACATGCGAGCTGTGCATTTGCTTTAGTCGTATAATAAATCATTTTGAGCATTTTATTTGCATTATAAATTCCAATTTGTAGCTTTGGCTACGTGACACACATTTTGCCTGTTAAAGTTTTTCGCTAACTGCGCCAGTTCGCACTTAATTCGTGACGGAAAAGTAAGCTCAATAAAGTTAAAAGATACAGAGAGAGGGAGAAAGGAGAGAAAGAGAGCGAGCACAGAGAGCAGAGAAAACAAAATGACAAACATGGCAACTAACTAACTGGATGACAACATGTTTCAACAATTGTTGCCCAAAATTCGAAACGTGCACTGACTGCATGTCGTCGATGCAGCAGCAGCAGCAGCAGCCGGTAAAAAGCCAAGGCCAAAGGCAAAAAAAAAAAAAAAAAAAAAAAAACAATGCACAGCAGGCAGAGCGATGCGAGAAAAAAAATAAAAATAAGAAAATCTAGAAAAAAAAACTACAGCAAAATGTTTAATAGACAAGCTGAAAATCACGTTTAGGCCATAAAGCACTCAAACGCGTGCTGCAGGGCAAAGGCTCGAATCATTTCGGCGCCCAAGCAGCTCGAACAGCTGCCAGAATGTGATGCCAGCAGCTGCAGCTGCAGCACCGTCAAAGCAGTTGCTGCGCTCTTACTGACTAAAAGCATAAAAAAGTGAAATTATTGCAGCTGGATATTGGCCACTGCGATATACTCTGCTGGCGGATGAATAACATTTGCGAAACTGATAAATTATGTCTGATATGTGGAGTGAGGGGTCTGCTCAAGATTTAATCTATCTCTCTTTTCTGTGTCTCTCTCTAGCTTCGATTTGCGGTCTTTATTTGGATATTTCCTATTTTGTTCTATTCTTGATCTATGTGATCTCCTTACCTAGGGGGTGCTCTCTTTGTCACCTTCTCTTTCTCTCGCTCTCTCACTCCCCCTCGCTCTCTCCGTGTTTCACTATTTCTAGCTGCATCTCAATCTACTTCTTTGCCTAGTCTCTATGTTATCTATATATAGACATGTTTCTCGCCCACCTCAATGAT